ACAACAGTGTCGCCATATTCTGATTCATTAATGATGATGTGTAGTAAACCGTGCATTATCACGATACAAGTCGGGTAGATGGGCGAGAAGAGTATCTCGACCACGCAATTTGGTAAGGGTTTCAAAAGAAATGAACCCTCATTTTTGTGCACTCTTCTATTAGAGGAGATCGAAGATGCAACTGGTCTTATTCCAAAACCGGCCAGAAAGCTTATTATGGAATTTGAGGACATCATGCCAGATGAGTTACCAAAGAAATTGCCACCAAGGAGGGTAATTTATCATGAGATTGAGCTTATTCCAAGTGCTAACCTTCCCTCCAGAGCACCCTATCATATGTCCCAACAGGAGCTTGAAGAGTTTAAAAATGATGGAAAGTGGGATTATCGTGCCTGCGAAATCACCATATGGAGCTCCTGTGTTGTTTCAAAAAAAGGCCAATGGTTTTATCAGAATGTGTTGTGACTATTGAGCCCTGAACAAGATCACTGTAAATAATAGTTATCCTATTCCGCTAGTCGCCGATTGTTTCTAACGACTGAGCTGAGCGAGATACTATATGAAGATTGATCTCAGATTCGGATACTGGCAAGCTCAGATCAAGGAGGGAGACGAAGCAAAGACCACGGTGGTAATAAGATACGGAGCCTTTGAATTTTAGGTGATGCCTTTTGGCTTAACAAACGCTCCAGTAACGTTTTGTACTATGATGAATCAGGTACTTCACGTGTTCTTGTATGATTTTGTTGTGGTGTACCTAGACGACATAGTAATCTACAGCGAGACATTAGAGGAACATGTGCAACATGTAAGGCGGATTTTCAATCGGTTGCAAGAGAATGAACTGTATGCCAAACCGTCTAAATGTTCTATCAATTTTATAGGCCACATCATCGAACAAGGTAAAATACGCATGGATGTAAAAAAGGTTGTAGCCATCAAAGATTGACAACCAATAAAGAATGTCCATGATTTGCTGTCATTTTTCAGGGTATGCAATTACTATCGAAGATTTGTGAAAGGGTACTCAGAAATTGCATTGCCACTTACCGAGCTGACGAAGAAGGATAGGGATTGTGACTGGTCATCCCAATGTCAAAATGCCTTTGAAAAGTTGAAGAAATCGATGTGGATGAACCCGATGTTAGACTTGCCGGATATGGCTAAACCATTCGAAGTACATACCGATGCTTTAGACTTTGCACTTGGTGGAGTCCATATGCAAGAAGGACATCCGGTAGCTTATGAGAGCCGGAAGCTGAATCAAGTAGAGCGTCGTTACTCGGCACATGAAAATGAGTTGTTGGCGGTAGTCCATTGCCTTAGGAGATGACGTTACTATTTGCTAGGGTCTCCATTTATTGTGAAGATAGATAACACTGCAGTGAGTCATTTCATGTCCCAACCAAAACTGCCAAGCAAACAGGCTCGTTGACAAGAACTTTTTTCAGAGTTCAATTTCATGCTAGAGTACCATCCCAGATCTAGTAATCATATTGCCGATGCTCTTGGTCATTAGGTAGACTTGGCCACCACTTGCCCTATGACTGCTTTTCCAGGGAGCGCAATTACCACAAACACAAAGGTTCAAATTCGGGCACTTTTGGATAAGGACCCGACTACTCAATATTTGGTCGACATCATCCAGCAAGGAGAAACTTAACAATTTTGGCTCGTTGGGGGTCTAGTGAAGATTAAGAAAGACTGTCTATATGTCCCGAAGGACGGTCTAATCACAGAGTGCCACGACACAATTTGGGTAGGGCATCCCGAAGAGGAACACACTTCTGTACTACTACACGGTGCATACTACTAGCCTCAAATGCAGGACAACATTGCAACTTATGTGAAAACTTATCTTGTCTGTCAGCAAGACAAGGCGGATCATCAGAAAAAGGCAGGCTTGCTGGAGCCCTTTTCCGTCCCAACGAGGCCATTTGGGAGTGTATCGATGGACTACATTACTGGATTACCAAAAGTTTGAGATTTGGCACTATCATCGTTGTGGTAGACCGTCTATCAAAGTACGCTACTTTCATCGGAGCACCCAAGTATATATCAGCAGAAGAGATAGCTCAACTCTTCTTCAAATATATTGTCAAATACTGGGGACAGCCTAAGGACATCGTCAATGAACGGGTTTCTTGATTTACTGGCATATTTTGGACCGAGTTGATCAAACTCCTTGGTTCAAACTTGAACATGAGTTCTAGTTTTTACCCACAATCTGACGGACTGATGGAGCGCTTCGATTCTATGCTGGAAGAATATCTTCAGCACTTTATCTCTACTTCGCAGAAGAATTGAGTGAAACTTTTGGGTGCGGTTCAAATGTGTTTCAATGCCCAGAAGAGCT